CCTCCGCCCGCTGCACGGCCTCCAGGCCGGGCCTCCGCCCTCGGAGCCCCCCCTCCGCCCGCTGCACGGCCTCCAGGCCGGGCCTCCGCCGGTCCGGACTCGCCCCCAGGAAGGAGGCCGCCTTGGTGGTCAGCCCTGGGCGCCCCCAGCCCTGGCTCTCCTTGAGCTCCGGAGCTGTCATAGACTGTTCCAACGAGTGGCTCCCGCACGGAATCAGAAAAGGGAAGCCAACCCAGCCCCAGCGGAGCCTGTGGGCCGAGGATCCGGTCCTTTATCCCCAGGCCCAGCCAGCGCCCCACAGAGCTGCTCCTAGCGCGCATGAAGTCAGCTCTGTGACTGGTCAGAAAGTCAGGTCTTTGGTATGACTTTTTTCAAGCCCTCACTTAGTCGACCCTATGTGCAAAAACTTGGTGCCTCTTAGGTACTTCCCCCCCTGTGTTAAGCCCAGAAGGCCAACGTTCACCACCAGGAGGGGCAGAAGGGGAGCCAGAGCAGCGGAGAGCGAACTGCTTCCCTCCCCTGCAAGGGGCGCTAGATGTCAGCACAGGCACAGCTAACCACTCGGTGTTAACCCTTCCAAAGTTCCTTACACGCAACCTAATCTATATGACAATCTATAAGGCACATAATTGGTAGTTATAAACGTATTTGAGTATTAGGTTGGCCCTTACAAGGAAAAATGGCAATGAGTGCAATGAACAAGAGCTGAAAGTCTGGTATAAAATAGCTCAGCTACGTGAGGGAAGGATGAATTGTTCAATTACTTGTATAATAATAATTGCAGAGTCAAGGAAAGTGATTTAGGGGGTCACTGGAGGCCCAGGGTTTGATCATCTGCATAACAATAATAAACTGAAAAATACATTGATAGGCATATGACAAAGTTAATGTCTTTGTTTTATAAAGAGTTCATAAGAATCTTTGTTTTTAATTTTTTTATTACTACTATCAAAGTGATGTACAGAGCGATTAGTTACTTAAGCCAGAGAATGAATACATTTCTTTTGGGACAGTGTCACCCCTCCATTCCCTCTGTTTTTCCCTCCCGTCCCCACCCACAAGCTAGATAGTTCATTTTCAAGGTAGTATCCAGTGAGTACCACTGCGTTTGTTCACCGTTTGTCCCTCTTTTTATTTTATTTGTTTTGAGATACTCTTACTCTTAAGTTCAGGCTAGCTGTCAATTCAAGTCAACTCAAGATCCACATCTACACAGTGATCCTCCTGCCTCTGCCACCAAAGTGCTGGGTTTATAGCATGCACCACCATGACTGGTTCAGCTGAAAAATTCATATGGACATTATGAAAGTGTTGATGTCCCAGAAATAAGACGAGCACAGTGGACAGCCAGGCCCTTGAGTGCATACTGCTACACATCTCAGTATCTGTTTTCCCTATTGATAAAACTGCTCTTTCAGATTTTTCTTAGTTAATACAAGCTACTTGTGGCTTCGGTGGGGCTGCCAGATAACCTGGTTCTGAAATGAGCCTGTAATCTAAGTCTACCCAATCAGCAGCATTTTATCTACCAAGCAAAAGAAAAAGGTTCAGAGCTAGGCACCGGTTCCACTTTGCTTAGGCCTACGCCCAAGGCTTATTCTAGAATGAGTAAGAAAAAGAGATTCTTCTTTTAGCTGTGTTTATAGAAAAATATAAGCCTAGAGTTGCCAGGAACCATTTTGTTAAAAAAAAAAATTAAGCAACTCAGAAGGCAGAAATGAGATTAAAAACTTTTTTAAAAAACTCAGCCTGTAAGCTGGGCACTGGTAGCTCACACCTGTAATCATAGCTACTCAGGAGACTGAACTCTGAGGACCATGGTTCAAAGCCAGCCCGGGCAGGAAAGTCCATGAAACTCATATCTCCAATAAGCCACCAAAAAACTGGAAGTGACACTGTGGCTCAAGTGGTAGAGCACTAGCCTTGTGCTGAAGAGCTGAGAGATAGCACCCAGGCCCAGAGTTCAAGCCCATGACAACAACAACAACAACAAAAAACCTCAGCTTGTAGGTCTTGGTTCTGGTCTTAGCAGAAAGTAGCAGTGTTCCTGACATTTCAGTTATAAGCCTGAGAATTCTCTTTTTGGTCATGCGAATGGAGATTTAACTGCAACGGAGTTAACCCCAACTAACTTAAGTAGTACAAACACACACACAAAGGAATGCAGAAACAAGAAAGAATACAGATGTTTTCATGAAAAAAAAAAAGTCAGCTTATACCAGTAATTCTAAAATTCAAAAGGGGGCATGTTTTGTCACGACATGAAATTTGGTGGCAGCAACCTTTTGGGAGGTGAATGTGATCATAAGTGGTCCATGGAAAGGTAAACTCATGTACCATTTCTGGAGGACAAATACTGCTGTGGAAACTATGTTGATCCACAGCTGATGCAGTTCTACTGTAGGAATTGAAAAATGTTTACTGCAATATTGCTAAAATAAACAGCAAAATGCTTAGAAACAGCACAAGGTCTTCCTGGAAAGTGTTAACGGAATGATAAAGCATGCATACGCTGAGATGAGCTACTATGTCATTATTTACATGATTTGGTCCATGTAGGATTATGAAGTGAAAACCTCCTTGCAGAAGTTCTCTGTGGCAGCATGACAGATTGCACAACTCCTGCAGTTTAGAACATTGGTTATTAGCTCAACGTTGTACAGGTCAGAAGTCCACACAGAGCCACAATTGGCCCCTTTCCTAGTGGTCTCAAAGGTGAGTGGATAGACACTTGGCCTGGAGCTCAGGGTTCTAGTCCCACTGCTGAGGTCCTGGTGGCATACACCAACTTGTGTTGAACTGCCCATTTCCTTGCTACCCATCAGCTGGAGGCTCTCTTCAGCTCCTAGTACCTGCCCGCATTTCTTGCAACATGGCACCACCACGGGGAAAGCTGGCAACAGAGAACTTCCCTCGGCCCCCACTCATCACATCAGGAACTGCTCAGTCTCTTCATTATTACTTACCTCTCTCTCTGAGATAGAGTCTCTGAGTAGCCCTGGAATTCAAAATTCTCCTTCATCTTCCCAAGTGCTTGGAATACAAGCAGGGCCCTGCAACTGCCACACCCAGCTCACAGAATGCTCACTGCCTTTAAAGGGACAGTCACCAGCTAAGACTCGCCCGGAATTACCTTCCTATCCAGAGGGACCAAATCACAGCTGCAAGTTCTCTTCCCAGGAGCTCTCAAAATGGTGTTGGATTGAATAACCAGGAGAACAAGTGAGTACACCTCATAGCTTGTGGGCCATGCAAGAAGTTTGCCTGTCACAATAATTGATAAAAAGAACATACTGCCAACAAAAAAGAAACAAGAGAGTTCCTATTTCTTTTTTTTTTTTTTGGGGGGGGGTCCGGTCATGGGCCTGAACTCTGGGCCTGGGCACTGTCCCTCAGCTCTTCAGCTCAAGGCTAGCCCTCTACCACTTGAGCCACAACACCACTTCCGGCTTTTTTTTCCCCTGCTTATGTGGTGCTGAGGAATCGAACCCAGGGCCTCATGCAGGTGAGGCGAGCGCTCTACCACTGAGCCACCTTCCCAGCCCAGGCGATGTATTCTTACACTGGCTTTCTCTGGTTCCCCTCAGGGAAATATTTTTGTTGCTAATTTTTTGCTCTTTTTGCTCTCTGTTATTATTGTTACAAGAAATAGCATGGCTGAGAAGGTGGCTCAGTGGTAGAACACTTGCCTCACATGCATGAGGTCCTGGGTTCAATTCCTCAGTACCACATAAACAGAAAAAGCAGGAAGTGGCGCTGTGGCTCAAGTGGTAGAGCGCTAGCCTTGAGCTGAAGATCTGAGGGACAGCGCCCAGGCCCAGAGTTCAAGCTCCACAACCGACAAAAAAAAAAAAAATACATCACCTTGGGGGGAAGTTCTAGGTCTACTGTGTCTCAGGCTTGTGTGTAACATGTTGGGGACACAGCACTCCAGCTGAGGCTGGTGGGGATTCAGCGAGGAGCAGAGTGCTAGAGCAACATTATAGACAGTAAGCACCTCATAAGCGGATCAAGCAGCCTGGCTCGTTTCCATCCGCGAAGTCTAGAAAACATGGAATATTGATACCACTTGTCTCAGGGCTGTGGGACTTTTACAGTTCTTTTTTTGTTTATTCACAGGCAGGGATGAGAATCTTTGGGAAGCACGTCAGCATGCTGAGAAGTTAAAATCGGCTCTGCCCAGTGCTTAGAGGGCCTGATTTCCTTCAGAGGCTCGGAGGAAGAATGCTTCTGATGGATTTCAGCCTGTTAGTGAAGCCACCCTCCTTCACAGAAGGTAGACTGCGGCTGCTTCTTTCTTTCCCTTTGGTCATTGCTAAATGCTGTGAAGGAAAGTCGGGGACAGGAAACAAAACCACACAAACCACAGTGTCACACATTTCTCCTCTTCCTGTTTTTCTGTCCTTCCCTCTCTGCCACTGGCAAACACACATGCATATGGACAGGTATGAGCACAGGTATACCCAGCACTCACTAGTAGAAGCACTTTAAGGAACACTGAAAGCACAAAGACGAAAACCTTCCATAAAAACAGACACAGGGTGCTCCGTTACTGACTGCCATGAGGATAAAGATGCCGAGTGCTGATTTTTACAGAGACCCCCCCCCCTGAAGCCAGTGTGCCGTGGGGTTCCCCCTTGAAATATACAGGGAGGACAGTAATGCTTCATTCGTCCTTGTGCTAGGAGCCACCACTGGCTTTATGGCCTCCTATTGGGAATGTCTGAAGCAGTCCCACAAGAGGTGCTCTGTTTTCTGTCTTTGTCACCCTTCTTCCTCCTCGCCAGTAATTTTGTATAGATACCTCATGATAATGTATTTGCTTCAGTAATTATGTCTAGATACCCCATGATGACATACTTGCCTCTGTGCTCTTTTATATTACTTGCTTGGGAGAATCATGAAAGACTTCATCAAAATGAGCTAATTAACTATGATGTTTATGGTTTTCTCATTTTACAAATGAGTAAACCGAAGCAGTGAATATATAAAGTAATGGGTCCCAAAAGATACATCAGCCATCTCTCTCCTGAGAGATCAGGTGTATTCCAGGAAAGTCAAGTGTGAGTTCCCATTCCAGCAAAGCATCTCACAGCCCTGGAATGCATCGTGCTGTCTCCAGCCTGGAGTCTGGGCGCCTCAGAAGGTGGAGATTGGGGGACCATGGTTTGAGGCCAGCTG